AAGTACCTTGATAGCTTTTGCCATGTAACAAACTTCCCCACAATTATTTATCAGTGCCCACTTGTGTATGGGTCAGCTGACCCAGGTTAGAGTCAGATGAATGTGTCTGAAATCAGGGCTTGCTGTGCATCTGTGAGTTTGTAGGTTAGCTGAGAATTGTCTACCCTAGCCTGGGGCTCTGTGGGGCAGCTCTGTTCTACCTGTCTCTCATCCTCCTACCTTTGGGCTAGTCTAGGCATGTTCTTCTTATTAAAATGGCAGAAAAGCAAACCTAGTCAAAACATGAAACCTTTTCTGGCCTAGGCTGAGAAAAGCCGAGAACAGAGAAACTGTCACTTTTACTTTACTCTGTCAAAACTAGTCACAGGGCTAAATCAAGGTGCTGGGAAATATGTTTCTATCCCTTTAGTGGGAGGTACTGCAAAGTCACTTAGCAAAGAGGCTAGAATGGAGAGGGAGGTTTAAAAAAAATAGGGCAAATGATAAATCTAGCCTTTTCTCAAACTCTGTATATCCCAACTGCACTTATCTCTGTAACTGTTTGCTTTATTAGAAACCTGTTTTGTTTCTTTGTTTCTGGTCTTAGTTAATGATAGTATTCTATGTCTCATCACTTAACCTAAGAAGTATTTTAATCTTGTCTTTCTCCTTTTCCTATCTCCAATATTTTTAAAAAAATATATTTATTAGTTGTAGGTAGACACAATATCTTTATTTTATTTTATGTGGTGCTGAGGATTGAACCTAGGGCTTCACGCATGCTTGGCAAGTGCTCTACCACTGAGCCACAGCCTCAGCCCCCTATCTTCAATATTTACCTTGTAAATATTTTTCTGTTCTGCACTCTTTTTCAGCTTCCTTACCATCACCATTCTTGTTCAGGCTCTCATGTCTCCTTGAGAAGTTAGGGAGAGAGTAGCTTTCTAGTTGTCTCCAATTCTGCTTCTTTTGGATCCATTTCTCTTATTTCAACCTTGAAATTCAGCCTCTTGTTCACTGGCTTCTCTTTGCTTTTAGAGGAGGCCCTTGTGATGTAGATTTTCCAACGTCATTTTATAGTGTTTTCTGCCTTCTCTTTTGTCCTTTTAATTCAAACATGAGCAAACCAGTGGGTCTGATCTGATCTACCACTTATTTTTGTTCAGCATACAAGCTAAGAATGATTTTTACAGTTTTTAGTGGTTAAAATACAAAACAATGATATTTGTGATACATGAAAACTATGAAATTCAAATTCATTTTCTATAAATAAAGTTTTATTGGACCATAGCTTTCTTCATTTGTGTATTGCCTATGGCTGCTTTTGCCCAAGAGCAGAGTTGAGTCATTGGGACAGAATACCAGATGACTCACAAAGCTGAAACATTGACTACCTGTTCCTTTGTAGAAAAAGTTTGACAACCATTGCTCTTGTCATATAGAACTTATAATAGTTCCTCTTGTATATCATTTTATTTCATGGCCCAGTGTTTTTTATTTTGTTGTTTCTTTGCATGGCTCTTATTTTTAAAATAACAGTCATATTAAGATATAATGTACATGTCAGTAGTTTTAGTATATTCAAGGAGTTGTACAACCATTATTAGAATCACTTAATCACTTTTTTTTTTTTAAACTGTATTAGGTGTTGAATCTAGTGGCACTGGACCTCTGAGCTACATCTCTAGCCTTTTTAAAATTATCTTGCTAAGTTGCCCAGGCTGGCCTTGAATTTGTAATTCTCCTGTCTCAGCCTCCCAAGTTACTGGGATTACAAGTATGCACCATGCACCCTGCTGTGATCACTTTTATTTGGAACATTTTCATTATTCTTCACACATACTCCATCCCCATTAAGAGTTACTCTCCATTTCTTCAACCTCTTTCAGGCCTGGATAATCACTAAATCTACTTTTAGTCTCTATTGATATGCTCATTTTTGATAAATGCATAATGTTTTTAAGGTTTAAGTCACATTGTAGGGAGTATTAATACTTCATTCCTTTTTTTGATTCCTTTTTGTTGCTGATTAACATTGCATTATATGGTTATACAACATTTTATGTATCTGTTCATCAGTTGATGGATGTTTGGGTTGTTTATTTCTTTTCGCTATTAATGAATAACATTGCTAGGGACATTTATGTACAAGTTTTTGGGGTGAACATGTTTTCTTTTTTGGGGGTGTATATCCAGGCTAACTTCCTTATTCCTCAATAATTGACTCTGGGGCCATCTCTTTTAGCACTCTTTTATACTCTCCTACAATGGGTTGTTTGTTTTCCTAAGACCTTGATAACACTTTCATTGTACTTTTCACATTAAATTGAAATTATCAATTTGCATGCCTGTCTTCTCTATTCCTCTGTAAATTTCTGGAGAACAATATCAATGCTTTATTTAAGTTTTACTGACTGTAAAAAGTAGAAAAGTTCACTTAATATTTGTTCAATTTGAAAAACTATAAAGCAATCTATGCTTTTGAATTAAATAAACTTTCTTTTGTTAGTGTTCTCTATCC